GGAGTCCCGTGGTGGCTTGATGGAGTCCTCTGCTCAGGGCCTCCCCAGGCTGCAATCAAAGTGTTGGTCAGGCTGTGTTCTCATCTGGATGCTTGACTGAAGAATCTGCTTCCGACCTTCTCCAAATTGTTGGCAGAGTTCCCTGCCTTGTCGTTGTGTGACCAGAGGCCTGGCGGTGGCCTCAGGTCCGAAAGACCACTTACAGCTCCCAGTCCCCGCCAAGCGGACTTCCTCAACACGGCGGCGGACCTCATCAGGCCGGCAGGCCTCTCTCACTCCAGTAGGCTAAGACAGAGTCTTGTGTGACGTACTCTAATCCAGGGCTGACATTCTGACACCTTCACAGTCGGAAGAGGGATATGGTTGGTAACAAGTCACAGGGGCCATCCACGCTGAAAGGGAAGGGGATTCACACAAAGGTGTGGATGCCAAGAGGCGAGAATCGCTTGGGATCACCTGCCTGTCGCAGTGGGACACCGACCGCCTGGGTTGTGGGCTGTTATCTTTAGGGCTGTGCAGACAGGCCTGGGCTCAGCTCTGGTTCCTCCACCCCGAGCTACCACACAATGTGCCCCTGTGGGTGCAGGACACTGGGGGTTCCTGGGGAGCTGGTCGGGAGGGGCCCAGAGGCCTCCTTCCAAGTTCACTGTGTGACCTCAGGCAGGGTGCTTGAAGCCCCTGGGCCTTGATGTTCTCAACTACAAAACGAGGTTCGTAGGAACCCCTGCCTCATGGGTGGCCGTGAGGACATGATGTTTATGAAGGGTGTGAGTTCTGATCCTGCCAGGAAGTTCACAGGTATTTGCCATTCCTGTCATCGTGATTCTCTGCCTCTGCTTCCCGATGGACCCCATTTAGTTCTCCACGAATGTCCCCCCATTCTGTAGGAATCTTTGCGTTTTGGGCACCGTGTGAAGCCTTAAGGGTTTTGGCAACAGGGTCTGGTAAGTGAGGAGTGAGCTCTGCCCCCCACTCAGGGGCAGAAGTTCTGTTCTGGAAGTTTCAGATCTGTCCTGTCGTGGCTTCACAATGGAATATCAGGGCAATGCATTTTCCAAGGCATTAATATTTTATTTATCACTCTTGCACTCTGCTGAACAGTGTATATAATTTCTGGGAACAGCCAGGCTTGGTGATTCCCGGGGGCCAGCAGGGCCAGGCCTGGCGCCTTGTCCTGGTAGAGGGGGTCTGTCTCTCCTTCCCGGGGCCCGAGGGGGCTCTCTGCACTGCAGGAGCCAGGAAGGGTGACAAGTGTCCAGCAGTCCCGGGCCACCCCCCCGGCAGCACCGTCTGCCTTGGAGAGATGGCTAAGCCCGAAGGCCCTAGGCACCTTGGGCCAGGGTGCGGCAGGTGACAAGCACGGAAAGGCAGCACCCCAGAGCAGATCCGCAGCGTCTGGGGGCTCCCCACCCTCATCCCGCCTCAGCCCTTGTCCTTGGGGGAGTCCGGTCAGGAAGGAGGTGACAGTTTACCAAGTCCCAGGGCCTCACCCTGAAAATGGCCTCATTCCATCCCTCCCTCCTGGTGAGGAACACAAGACTGGAGCCAGGCAACCTGAGTTTGCACAGGAGGACACCCCCCCGCCCCCCGCCAGTCTCTAGACAGTGGTCTTGCCTCAGCTTCCCCATCTCTGGGATGAGGATTGCTAACGAGTTAACAGAAAAGGACCTGGAACAGGGAAGACTCAGCCTCAGCTGTAGCCGTGGGTCCGTCTCGTGCCCCTGCCCACACCCCACCCCCAAGTGCCGTGGGAAGGACAGCTCAGGGGAAGAAGACAAGGGACACCAGGTGTCCTGGGCACCGAGGGCTCGCTTTATTTCACCAGCAGCACCTGGTCGCTTCTTTTGTCCTGGGAAGGATGGAAGAGCTTTAGCAGCTGTGCGAGCAGGCCCAGGATGATGCCCACCAGCAGCATCAGCTTGAGTCCCTTGAGGACGGACCTGGCCCTCCCCTTCCAGGCCTCCCCTGACTCCTGTTGTGGTCCAGCTTCCCTTTGCCTGAGGGTCTCTGGCACATCCGGAAAGGGCTTGGGGTTGAAGCAAGCCACGAGCTCCTGCTTCACGAAGCACTTGTAAATGGCTGGCTCAAAGACCCGAAGCTGCCTGCCACCGTTGGTGGGTTCCAGAATGGTGCTTAAGTCCTGGTTGGAGAGCTGGCCCTGCCAGGTCAGGGGCTTGTCGTTGACTTCCCAGAGGATGGGCCTGCAAAGGAGGACAAGGTGAGCTGCAGCAGCCTGGGGATGCATGGGAGGCGGAGGTCTGGAAGGAGGTGGAGACGGCGGCACCCGCCACCCTGGGGAGCAGCCAACAGGGCACCCCCTCCAAGAGTGCGTGGGGAAGGCAGGGCCAGGCTGGCGGGGAGCTCGGAACCCCACCCCGCCCTAAATGGGCAAGGGGCATAGGCTTCTAGCTTTTTGAGCCTCCGCTCTGTCGCCTGAAAACTGGGGGTGTGAAGATTGTACCTGCCTCACAGGGCTATTTGAAGGAATGAGCGAGAGACACTGCCTACGTGATTGCCCCCCACCCCCCACCCCTGCTCTCCCTGCCTGGCCTCATTCTCTCCACTCTCCCTCACTCTCTCTCTGCCCCAGCCACGGTGCCTCTGAGGTGGTCCTCCAACAAGGCTGGGCCCCATCCTGCCTCAGGGCCTTTGCCCCTCCCTCCGCTGGGAGTGCTTTCCCTCAGCACACAGGGCGCCCTCACCTTTCAGTCTTGGCAACTTCTCAGATGGCTTCCCTGCCCTCTGTATTTAAACCGATCCTCTCCTCCACTCCCATCCCCCGTCCCGGCTCCTATCACCATCTAGAATACCGTATGTTTTATTCATAGGCATTTGCCCCCTCAGACATCACACTGACCCCATGAGGCCGGGGCCAGCAAGCCCGCCGTACTGAGTTGGATAGTGTCCTCGCCAAACGCATGTTCTAAACCTCGGAAGGTGACCTTCTTTGGAAATGGGGTTGTTGGCGATGTAATTCGTTAAGTTGAGGTCTGACTGAAGTGTCCCCGGGCTCTAAATCCAATATGACCCGTGTCCTTTTAAGAAAAGGAGACACACACACACAAACACACAGGAAAAAGACCAAGTGATGACGGGCAGATCGGAGGGACGCAGCTACAAGCCAAGGAAGGCCGAGGATTGCCCGCCACTCCCAGAAGGGAGGCGGAAGCAAGGACGGCTTCCACCCACCATCTCAGAGGGCACAGGGCCCTGGGGAAGCTTTGACTTTGGACTTCTGGCCTCCAAAACTATAACAGACTACATTTCAGTTGTTTGAAGCCACCCAGTGCATGGTATTTGGTGATGACAGCCCAAGGGAACTCATACAACCCCCATTCAACAGATGGGGAGACTGAGGCCCAGAGAGAAGCCACAGGCCCAAAGTTACACAGTTGGGAAGTGTGGAGACCAGGCCTGGCTGAATCCAGAGTCCAAGACATAAACCTCACATGGAATGCCACTCTACTCAGGTCCCTAGAGACGTGGCAACTCTTGAAGCCTCGGGGACCTCTCTTCTTCTTTTTTTTAAAGTAGGCTCTACACCCAGCATGGAGCCCAACGCAGGGCTTGAACTCACGGCCCTGAGATCAAGACCTGAGCTGAGATCAAAGAGTTGGATGCTTAACCGACTGAGCCGTCCAGGCGCCCCACCTCTCTTGATTCTTCTCTGGGGTTCCTGATGACGGGCACTCGGGAACTGCTTGTCTGGCAAATGACATGGAGCAGGTGTCCCAGGCTCGCTAGCAGGGGCTCATGTACTTTCCTGAACTGTGGGGGCTTTGTAGAGACTACGTGCTACTTTTATACTTAAATAAAGGAGGAAAAAAGGAGGGAGACAAAAGAGATTGTGGGAAAGAGAAGAAGAGAAGTCACAGCGGGAATAAGGAAAAGAACACCAGACGGAGGTGGTGGGACCAGAATTGACAGAGGAGGTGGCTGCAGAGGCCCCAAGAGGTTGCTTGGGCTCCCCCTTTGCAAGGGAGGGGCTTACACAGGCCCATGGGGGAAGGAGGGCGAGGGGGACCCCACAGCCAAGTGGGTAGGATGTAGGGTCACCACGGCTCCCCCTGGACAAGGACTGTGCCCCTCCGAACTGTCGTTTCCCCATCTCTTAAATGGACGCCGGCAGAGTCACCTGTAGATAGATCCCATGGGGCAGGTGAGCCACACAGATCCTGAATCCTCATTGATCTCAAAGTTGTCAAAGGCAACGAAATCCAACGTGGATATTTCACACGGGACCTGGCAGGCCTCCACCTGCATCTCGGGCTGCAAGCGGCTAGACCACAGCTTCACATGTCCCAGGTAGAGCCAGCAGGGCATGGGCTCCTGCAGGGGCTCCTCAATGTAGCAGTAGCCCAGGCGCTTCCGCTCCCCCGGCTCCCCACAGCGGTTACAGTCCTGCCAGGGATCCCACTGGGTGAAGATGAGCTCCTTACCACCCAGACTCAGGGTCTCGTTCGGCAGGGGCTTTTGGCCCAGGCCTTTGTGGGTAATATGCAGGGTGCTGACATCCTGGAAATCAATCTCATACTGCACCACTTGGACGCCATTCTTGTCCCGGCAATGGTAGAAGCCTGTCTGGGAGGGCAATGGGTTTTGGATGAGAATGCCGATTTCGGGTATTATTTCGATGTTGGAAACACTGGAGACTTTGTTGGACCAGCTGGTCTCGTCTTGCAGGAAGAAGAAGTACCACTGTGCCCCAGAAGAGTTGCAGGGCAAAAAGATGTCATTGTCTGAGAGGAGGGCTTTTTGGCACTGCTTCTCGTTGGGACAGCTGAAGGAAGCATGGGACCCCAGCAAAGGGACGGCGAGGCTGAGCAACAACCACAGGGCGGTGAGCATGATGGACTGGGCTGTGGCAGTGGGCAGGGCACTACCCTGGCCATTGTGAAGTCACCCCTGAAACCCAGGCCCCAGTGAGGGTGAGGTGTCCTATGGGCCACCGCAGGGGTGTGTGAGGTCACAATCCCCATTTGACAATTTAACAACTCTATTTCATTTCTATTCCAAGTCCTCCACTCTGCTGGGATAGGAAGAAACTTAATTTGTCTCTTCAGGGTTTTCTCTACCATCCCCGGCTTTGGCATTCAAGCGTCACATGTGAGCATTTGATACATTTTTCTCTGAACACTGACTATGTTCTAGGCACGATTCTTAGTGGTGGGCGTGGAGAGGTGAATAAATCCTCTCTGGTTACCATTCTGACTTCCTACCCCAGCCACACTGGCCTCCCTGCCATCTCCTGAAAACATCAGGCAAGCAAAAGGCTCCTCCTGCCTCAGGACCTTTGCACACACTGGCCCCAGACTCTTTCCACAGATAGCTGCATGATTTAATTCATTTTAAACAAATAAATATTTTTCTCAGGTGTCTCCTTCCTAAACCCTTTCCTAAACTTCTTCTCCGTCCTGAAATTAAAAATAATTATTGTGCAGGCTTGATCTGCCATCATTCACTCATTTCACAAATGTTTACTGAAGGCCTACCATGTGCTTGCTGGCCCTTCTTCTAATCAGAGCCCTGAGCAGATTAGATAAAGCCTCTTCCCCACTGGGATTTACCTTCTGGTGGAAGAGAGAGACAATAAGCAAATATATAATACATAATATCAGATACAGTAGATTCTCCTTATTCATAGCAGTTATAAAGGTTCTATAAAGTTGCTGAATTAGCAAATACTGAAACATTGTTCCTAGGAGAAATGCATGCTTAAGGTCCTACAAGCCTTTGGTCATAACATTTTTGTCAACTGCTCAACACATAACCTTGCTTTATGTGTATTTTTCTTTAAAGACCTCTTATTTAATATATATTGTTCATTCATTAACATTGCCTGAACAAAGCTTATCTAATACACGCGTTTTCTTCGTAAGACACATCGCAGCCTTCTTGTGCTTAGGGACGCTGGCCAGGGCTTCAGCTCTGCTTGGGAGCCATTTTAAATAGCAGAATCAACAAAAAGTACAAAAATGCAACAACAACAAAAAATGGCCCTAAACAGACCATGAAAAGGATACTTGTTAATAGTAGGAGAGCTGAAACCAGAAGGCAGTGTCACGGTGTTGGACCTTAGCTGGGAATGTGCATTGTTAGGTGGCTCAATTTTTTCCACCACCCTGTCCATGTCTGCAGATGACTATGAAACCACTGTGGGTATTGACCTGGGGGCTACAAATAAATTTTAGCGAGTAGGTGAATTCACAAGTACGGAATCCTCAAATAATGAGGATTACCCAATAATTGCTAAAGATAAGAGCAGGGAAATGGGGATAGAAAGTGAAGGGTTGGTATGTGGGTGTGAGCTATTTGAGGGAGGATGATCAGGACTGTCTGAGCACTCGCTGAGGAGGTGAAGTTTCACAAACACTTGAATAAAGTGAGATAAAGAGCCACGTGGATATTTGAAGGAAGAATATTCCCAAGAGATGGCTAGACCCTGATATGGCTGCCATATTTAAAGGGCACAGAGGCCAGAGTGACTAAGGAGTAGTGGACAAGGGGGAGAGTGGTGAGTGGGTGAGGTTAGAGGTTCACTTGGGTCTTTGCTAAGACATCCTGCCTTCCTCTCTCCCAGGCTCCTTATGGCTGGGGGCTCTGTTAGTCGTGTCCCTGTCCCACGTGGGGACCTCTACAGGCTGTGTTTGGCATAAGCTGTACGCTTAGACTCTGGAACTGCTGCTTCGATGGCATTTTGCTGCCACCTTCATCCCAGGAGTGGGCCACACATCCCCTCTGTTCTCACATCTATTAAAACCATCTAGAGTTTTTGTCTCTTCTCAGGACCTTATAAAGTCCCTCTACCTGAGACACATTAACATCTACACTTCTGTTGCCTCCCCTCCATCTCCCTGCCCCTCTCTCTCTCCTCTGCCCGCCCAGGAATCTTTTCTAAAAAGTAAGCAGGGCTATGCGGAAACTGTGCAATACCCCACTTCTGATTTTCACATTGTCTAGGTGAGAAGTAACAAACTGGCTGGATCCAGCCTGAATAAATGTTTTCATTGGTCTCCCTAGGACGTTTTTAGAATATTTAAATCAGTGACCAACATGTAAAATCCAAGGGATTTCATATGAGAATCCAGATTCCCTGCTATTCTTTAAATAGTGTGGGTGAGGTTTCCGCTTACTGCTACAATTGAGAAGCTTATATCAGACTAACACTCTTCCTAATAACAACGGTAGACTTTAAGATAACTGTGATTAATATGTCCAGGAGATGACAAGATGAGGATTTTGAACCTATATAGAAGAATCAAATGGAAATACTAGAACTAAAAAATAAAATGTCTGACATTGAGAATTCACTAGAAAGGGTAGCAAGCTATTAAACACAACAGAAAAGAGGATTAAGGAAATAAAAGATGGGCCCACAGAAAAATATCTGTACTGATACATGCAAAAAAAAAAAAAAGATAAGAAAATACAGAAAAGAGTGTAAGAGACATATAAGACATGGTGGAAAGTTTTAACATTCATGTAAATGTAGACCCAGAAGCAAAGGAGAGACAGGAACATAAGTAATATTTTAAGACACTGAATGAAAACTTTCCAAAACTGATGAAAGACATCAAGCAACAAATTCAAGATGGCCTTCAAACCCCATGCAGGTTAAATATAAATGAAGCCACACCTAGGCCCGTTATAGGAAAATGCTGCTGAAAACCAAAGAGGAAATAATAAAAATGACCAGAGAGAAAAAGATACCTGCTTTCAAAGTAACAATCATAAGACCCTACACTGACTTTTTAAAATTATTATTATTATTATTAGGTAGGCTCTACACCCAGCATGGAGCCCAGTGCAGGGCTTGACAAAAAACAGGAAGAAGGCCTAAATAATGAATACTAGTAATGAAAAAAGAGACATTACTACAGATCTTACAGGCATAAAAAGATAATCAGATAATATTAAAAACAACTTTTGGCCAAAACTTATACAAATTTAGATAAAAAGGATAAATTCATTGAAAAACTTAACAGCACTGGCACAAGAAAAAATCTGAACTATTCTATATTTACAATGAAAGAAACTGAATCTGTAATTAAAAACCTATGCACAAAAAACCATCTAATGCCAGAAAGCTTTACCACTGAATTCTTCCAAATATTTCTTAACAATTAAGAAACAGCATCAATCTTTCAAAATCTTTCCAGAAATATAAAAAGATGAAACACTTCCAAACTTCTATGAGGCCTGCATCACCTTAATACCAAAACCATATAAGGTTATTACAACTAAGGAAAATATCAGGCCAATCTCTTTCATGAACAAGGACACAATATCCTAAACAAAATATTAGCAAATTTCCTCCAATGATAAACAAAAAGAATTAATATCATGACCACATTTGTTTTATCCCAGGAAGGCAAGGTTGGGTTAACATATGAACACAATAAATGTAATTCACCATATTATCATAATAAAGGAGAAAAACCATATTATCATCTCAGTAGATGTGGAAAATGCATTTGATACAATTCAACACTGGGCGCCTGGGTGGCTCAGTTGGTTAAGCGACTGCCTTCGGCTCAGGTCATGATCCTGGAGTCCCTGGATCGAGTCCCTCATTGGGCTCCCTGCTCAGCAGCGAGTCTGCTTCTCCCTCTGACCCTCCCCCCTCTCATGTGCTCTCTCTCTCAAATAAATAAATAAAATCCTTAAAAAACAAGCAAACAAACAACAAAAATTCAACACTCATTCATGGATCAAAACTTTCAGAAAACTAGGAATAAAAGGGAATTTTATTAATCTAATAGTTTTTCTATTAAAAACCTAGAGCTGTATTATATTTACTAGTGAAATATTAAGAACAACATAAGCATGTCCGCCATCAGCTTCTCCACTCAGCATTTTACTGGAGGTAAGTGAATTTCGCAAAATAATTTGATACAAAGTCATATACAAATACCAAATACAGGGATGCCTGGGTGGCTCCGTTGGTTAAGCATCTGTCTTTGGCTTAGGTCATGATCCCAGGGTCCTGCAATCGAGTCCTGCACTGGGCTCCTTGCTCAGCGGGGAGCCTGCTTCTCCCTCTGCCTGCCGCTCCCCCTGCTTGTGTGCTCTCTCACTCTGACAAATAAGTAAATAAAATCTTTAAAAAAAAAACCCAAATACCAAATATATTTTTATAGACCAACAACAAACAATTAGAAGATAAAATTTAAAAGATACAATTTGTCTCTCTAGTTGCCCCTCCAATGCTAACAGGCATGTGTCCTAGCCCCGCCCTCACCTGCAACCCTGCCAAATCTAATGGGTGCACCCAGTCCTGTGCTCTTCCCCTGCCCCATGAAAGCTAGCAGGTACACAGAGTTGACACAGGGGATTCCCCTTGATTGCCTGGTTCTGGTGGCTGGTTGGGGTGTGTGTGTGTGAGAGTTTGTGTTTCTGGGTCCCATGGGACTGAAACAATTGGAGAGACAGTTCTTGGCAGGCTACTATCCCCAGGGCACTCCCCAGACAGCAAACACATCACAGTCTTCCTGTGAAAAAGACCTATTTACTCATCCTAGAGTTTTAGCCTGAGGGCCAGGCTTCTAGCTGGCCACACATCTAGAGGTTGTGAAGGAGTGCTCAGGGCATGTAGGCCAAGGGACACCAACTATGTGCTCTCCCTTGGTCTCACTACAGTTCACGGTTACCTCCAAGAAAGGAGCTTATATACTCACCAGGAGCCCCGATTTTCACTACTCTCACCCAAGGGACACCGGTAGATCACTTAGTCCAGAGGTCAGCAGGGTTTACAACTGCGGTACCATAGGACTATATAAATTTGCATAAATTGAGAGCTGCTTCCAGAGGGTCTCGTTTCCAATCAGCCAGAACCTAGGTGCTGACGGAGATTCTTCCCTTTGAAACTCTGACAGGTCTTGGCACACCCTCAACGACGGGGACCTATTGAGGATAAGTCAGGCTGCCTGGACAACCATGAAGGTCTGAGAGAAAACCAAGAACTAAGACAAGGTTGAATGATAAAGGTTCATGTCCTACACAAGGTCATTCCTTCAGGACTGGGACAGGTAACTGTTTCACCGAATACATAGGAACAAACACAAATAGTTGAGCAAGATGAGGAAACAGAAGAGTTTGTTCCAAATGAAGGAACAAGATACAACTTCAGGGAAAAAAAAAATAGAGATAATTAATTTACCTGAGAGAGTTAAGAGTTCAAAATAATGGTCATAAAGATACTCAGGAGAAGAATGGATGACCACAGTGAGAACTTCAACCCCCACCCCCCAAAATTAATTAATAAAATCTAAGAAAGTACCAAATAGAAGCCACAGAAGTGTAAACAATAACTGAGCTGGAAATACACTACAGGGCCAGAAAGGTTCAATAGCAGACTCGATGAAACAGAAGAAAAGATCAGTGATCTGGAAGACAGGGCAGTGGAACTCACACACAGAGCAGGAAAAAGGGAAAACAAAAGAATTTCAAAAAGTATAAATAGCTTAAGGGACCTATAGGACAATATAAAACAGAATAACATTCACATTATAGGAGTCTCAGAAGGAGAAGAGAGAGAGAGAAGGGAGAACACTTATTTGAAGAAATAATGGCTGAAAACTTCCTTAAACATACATCCAGATCCAGGAATCCCAGAGAGTTCCAAAAAAAAAAAAGATGAACCCAAAGAGATCCACACCAAGACACATTTATAACTACAATGTCAAAAGTTAAGAATAAAGAGAGAATCTTAAAAGCAGTGAGAGAAAAACAACTTGTTTCATACAAGGGGACCCCCCCCCAATAAGATTATCAGCAGATTTTTCAGCAGAAATGTTGCAGGACAGAAGGGAGTGGAAAAATATATTCAAAATGCTGAAATGAAAAGACTTCCAACCAAGAATACTCTACCTAGAAAGGTTATCATTTAGAACTGAAGAAAGAAAAAAGTTTTCCAGACAAGCAGAAGTTAAAGAAGTTCATTGCCACTGAACCAGCCTTATGAGAAATGTTAAAAGAACTTCCTTATGCTGAAAAGAAAGGGCACTAATTAGTGACAAGAAGCGAATGAAAGTAAAAATCTCACTGGTAAAGATAAATATATAGTAAAGGTAGTGGATTAATCACAAAGCTAGTATGAAGGTTAAAAGGCAAAATTAGTAAAAATAACTATACTCATAATAATTAGTTAAGGGATACACAAAAATAAAAAGATGTAGAATGTGATGTCAGAAACATAAAATGGAAGTAAAAATGCAGGTTTTAGAATGTGTTCAACTGGGGCCCCTGGGTGGCTCAGTTGGTTAAGCGTCTGCCTTTGGCTCAGGTCATGATCCCAGGGTCCTGGGATCGAATCCTGCATTGGGCTCCCTGCTCAGCGGGGAGTCTGCTTCTCCTCTCTCTCCATGTTCTCTCTCTCTCTCTCTCAAATAAATAAATCAATCGGAAAAATTAAAAAAAAAAGAATGTGTTCAACTTATCTTGCTATCACCTTAAAACAGACTATTATATATATAAGCCATTATATGTGAAGTTCATGGTAACCACAAAACAAAAACCATATACTAGATACACAAAAGATGAGAAAGGAATCTAATCATAACACTAAAGAAAGTCATCAAACCACAAGGGAAGAGAGCAAGAGAAGAATAAAGAAACAGAGAGGAACTACAAAACAGCCAGGAAACAAAGAACAAAATGGGAATAAGTATATACCTATCAATAATTACTTTAAATCATTAAATGGACTAAATTCTCCAGTCACAAGACATAGGGGTGCCTGAGTGGCTCAGTCAGTTAAGCATCCGACTCTTGATTTCAGCTCAGGTCATGATCTCAGGGTTGTGAGATCAAACCCTGTGTTGGGCTCTGCACTGGGCGTGGAGCCTGCTTAAGATTCTCTCTCCTTCACCTTCTGCCCCGCCCCTGCTCTCTCTCTCTCTGTCTCTAAAAAAGAAAAAAAGACATAGAGTGGCTGCATGGATTTAAAAAAAGAAAAAAAACCCAGACCCATTTATATGCTGCCTATAAGAGACTCACTTCAGATGTAAAGTTACACACAAACTGAAAGTGAGGGAATAAAAAAAGATGTTTCATGCAAATGAAAATAAACAAACAAAGGGCTGGTAGCTATACTTATATTTATTTATTTGACACAGAGAGAGACAGCAAGAGAGGGAACACAAGCAGGGGGAGTGGGGGAGGGAGAAGCAGACTCCCCGTGGAGCAGGGAGCCCAATGTGGGGCTTGATCCCAGGATGCTGGGATCATGACCTGAGCCGAAGGCAGACACTTAATGACTGAGCCACCCAGGCGCCCGACAAAATAGATTTTAAAATAAGGACTGGGTGGTTGGGGTGTGTGTGATCCCAAGGTCCTAGGATAGAGCACTGTACTGGGCTCCTGCTCAGTGGGAAGTCTGCTTCTCCCTTTCCCTCTCCCCACCCCCATGTTTGTGCTTTCTCTCTCTCAAATAAATAAAATATTTTTTTAAAAAGACTGCAATAAAAGAGAAAGATGGGCATTACATAATGATAAAGAGTTCAATACAACAAGATATAACATCTGTAAATATTAATGCCCTCAATATAGGAGCACCTAAATATGTAAAGCAAATATTAACAGGGAGAAACTCACAGTAAAACAATAGTAGGGGACTTTAATATGCTACTTACATCAATGGATTGATCATCCGGACAGAAAATCAATAAGGAAACATCAGCATTAAGTGACACATTAGACAAGATGGACTTAATAGATATATAACAGAACATTCCATCCAAAGCAGTAGAATACACATTCTTCTTAAGTGCACATGGAACATTCTCTAGGATAGATTAAACGTTAGGTCACAAAACAAGTCTCAATAAATTAAAGAGGATTGAAATCATATCAGGCATCTTTTCCAACTACAATAGTATGAAACTAGAAATCGATTACAAGAAGAAAACTGGAAACAAAAATCACAAATATGTAGAGATTAAACAACATGCTCCTGAACAATCAATGTGTCAATGAAGAAATGAAAGGAGAAATCAAAAACACCTTGAGACAAGTGAAAATGGAAACACAACATACCAAAATCTATGGGATATAGAAAGAGCAGTTCTAAGAGGGAAGTTCATAGTGATACAAGTCTACCTCAAGAAAAATCTCAAATAAGCAATCTAACTTTACACCTAAAGAAACTGAAAAAGAAGAACAAATGAAACCCAAAGTTAGTAGAAGGAAGGAACTAATAAAGTTCAGGGCAGAAAGAAATGAAATGGAAACTAAAAAGACAGTGGAAAAGATCAACATAATTAAGAGCTGGTTCTTTGAAAAGATAAACAAAACTGACAAACCTTTAGCGAGACTCACTAAAAAAAAGTGAAAGGGCTCAAATAAATAAAATCAGAAATGTAAGAGGAGAAGTTACAACTGATACCACAAAAATATAGAGGATGGGGGGCGGAGCAAGATGGCGGAGGAGTAGGAGACCTAGATTTCGTCTGGTCTCAGGAATTCAGCTGAATAGGGATCAAACCATTCTGAACACCTACGAACTCAACAGGAGACCGAAGAAGAGAGTAGCAACAACTCTCTGAACAGAAAAGTGACCACTTTCTGGAAGGTAGGACGTGCGGAGAAGTGAATCCGAGGCGATATTCGGGAGGATAGACGGCGGGGGAGGGGCCTCCGCCGGCCGCTTCTGGCAAGTGCTAGAGCCGCGGAGCACAAAATCGGACCTTTTAGAAGTTGGCTCCGTGAAGGGACGTCGCTGCAGTGGCTAAGCGGGGGGTGGAATCCTCCCGGGACAGTGTGGTCTCAGGACCCTCGGGGTCACAGAGAGACCGGGGGTGCCTGAGTGCGCCAGAGCTCCCAGGTATCGGAGCGGGGAAGCCGGCTGCAGAGACGGAGCAGAGTCGCGGGCTCTCAGCTCGGGGTTGCCATAGACTGTGACCCGCGGCCCAGTCGGGGCACGGCTCCTCCAGCAGGGACCCAGCAGGCGGCAGATCCGGGGAGACTCCCCTTCCTTCCCGGGGAGGAGCGGTGCGGGAACGCACTGCAGGGATCTGCTGGGTTTGGAGACTCTGCGCGGGGTCGGGTACCAGAGATAGCAACGCTCGGTCACAGGCCGGGTGAGCACAGGGCGCAGCCGGAGACCGGGGACACGGAAGTGACTGCTTTTCTCTGGGGGCACACTGAGGAGCGGGGCCCCGAGTTCTCGGCTCCTCCGGGTAGAGATTGGGAGGCCACCATTTCTGCCCTGGTCCTCCAAGGCTGTACGGAGAGCTTGCAGGGAACAAAAGCTCCTGAGAGCAAACCGGAGCAGCTTCCTTAGCCCGGACCGACAAGGGCGGGGCAATTCCGCCTCCGGCAAAGACATTTGGAAACCACAGCAACAGGCCCCTCCCCCAGAAGATCAGCACAAACAGCCAGCAAGCCAAGACCAAGTTGATCGATCAAGGAGAACGGGAGAACTCCAGCGCTAGGGGAATACTGCACATAGATTCATGGCTTTTTTTTTTTTTTTTAACAATGATTCATTATTTAATCAAAGTTAATTTTTGTTGTCTATTTTTTTTTATTTTTCTTTTTCCCTTTTTTTAACCAACATCTTATCAATCCCTTTTTAAAAAAAAAATTTTTTTTTCATTTTTCATTTTTAGAGTCATATTTTATCCCTTCATAGTAGTTACCCTTATTTTTGGCATATATATATAAGTTGTTCTCTCTTTAAAATTTTGAGGTACAGTTTCTTCTAACAGATCAAAATATACCCTAAATCACTAGTGTATGGCTTTGTTCTAGTCTCCT